AAGTATTCAAATTTGGGCGGGGGAGGGTGGAAGACGGAAAACGTGAAAGTGTAAGAAGGGAGGCGTCAGCAGTAGCCTGTTTTCGCTTACCCGCCCTGCTGTATGCAGCAAGTAAGGCGACCCGGCTGATGGCACCACGCGACGGCCAATGTGGCAGGAGAGTATTGTTAGCTGTGTAGGTCATGGTTGTACGAGGGCTGGGATACCGACAGGGTCCCCATACCTAGACAGGAAGACGATTAGGGTCCTCAACCAAAGCCTTTGACTCAAAAGCCTAACCGCAAGGCAGCGGTGTTTGGCGGGAAATTACATTACATTACCTTTTCTACGGAACAAGTCGCCGTACATGTTCCAACCCCCAACCTGGAGGGCCAGGAGACTGCGTTCGTCAGAACCAACCTGGTCACAAACCGCCACGCCACGGTAAGGTCCAGACTTTTCGTGACGGAATCCACGGAATCCGGTTATCCGAAAGGTGGTATTGCACGAGCTACATGTAGCGCTCATCGAACATTTCAACTGCGAGGGAAAAATTACGTCCTCCAGAATCAAAAGGTCTGCACAAACCGGAATTTCAGGGGGGAGGGGCAGAAAACCCTACAGACAAAGAACAGTTCTCGAAAGCCGCAAGGCATGAGGCGGGCAAGTACTCCGCAGAATTCCCTCGGAGTTTTGGACTCAAACCCGGCTATTAAATCTTTGGTAGCAGATCTCTCAAATCCCCACCTTCGGACGCAGCGAGTGTTAAAGCACTTATCCACAAACTGCCTCAGTCGTTTGAACAAACTGGGCTACATTAAACAGTCAGCTTGTTTTGGGCAACCGTCCATTATCGTACTTAATGAGACCATGCTCATACCAGATGTCTCTGGCGCGGAGATTTTGATAGACGGCTACTCGATTTTCCGAGCTGACTCGAAACGCGAAAGGGGAGATTACGTTTCTCTATACTTACAAGCGGCCTTGCTCATCCCGATTTTTCCCCTTCGACACAACTCCTGCAACTTATTGTTATACGGGACTCAGTTCCGCTGAGTGGGACCGATTGTCTTCTTCTCGTCGCGGTCTACCACCGCCCCTCGAGGCCACTGGAATATGACTCATAGACCCCCGAGCAGCGCTCCACTAGCTACAACTTGACACATCTCTGGCTGTGTTGTGTCATGCGGTACGGTCCTGCAACTTCGTGTCGGTTCTTGGCTTCCTGCTCCACCCATCATGGTGTATCAAAAGACACGGTAGCTTCAGACATCCTTTTTTAGGTACATAGGAAGATCATTTTAACCGTATTTGTGGGGTCGCCACAGGATTCTCCGCAAAGTCACGCCAAAAGCTACATGGAGGGGCGAGAAGCGTCGAGCTACAGTTGCTCGACCCAGATTAGCTGATATTTTGACCAATAAGAGCATGTCTTCGTTTGGTCCGTAGCCCGCACGTGACACATTCGTCCAATTGATGTGATGTTTGACTGCTGGGGACGGCTGGCCTCTGGACATTATGGTTGGTTGTCATAACGCTCCAAAGACCTGGTTGGAACTCCAGCGCGTCGAATTTAGTGAACATTTTGCATCTGCACTGTCCGAAGTAGTTCCACAGAACGCTTGGAATTAAAATGTCGTCGCACTTGCCAGATATCACGCAAGCCAACTACCTTCCCCGATGAATTTCGTTATCACCAACGGAAAATACTTCGTTGATCACACGTTAAGTAGCGCTTCGCTGGCTACTTCTGGCACTAGGCCAGAGATCCGGAAACTCAGACGTAGAATCGGATCCTCTACCGCCCAGCCTTTCCTCAGAAATTAGTAGCTTCCTTGAGGACTCTAGAATGATGTCAGCTTCAGTGGCAGATCTATATGGGACTACCTCCCGATAATTCATGTTTATGACGTGATGTTCGTCCCGAAAAAACTGGCGCGCAGTTTGATGGACCAAAAGCTGCCTAAAGCGCTTCGGTGTCTTTTGGGAAAGAGGTCCCAACTGTTTTTCCAAAAGATAACATCCGGTGACACAGCAAACGGGCTGGCATTTTGCAAAATATGAAGCTGTTGTAAATCAGAAGTTTGCCGATGGTACATACGAAAACAAGCTGCCATACTGAGACTATCCCGGAAAAAATGTGCTATTTTGGTAGATGGGACCCCATCCGAAAATAATAAGTCAATCGCCTTTTTCTTGAAAGATGGAGACCGGAACACACGGGTGATCTAATAGTGGTATCGCCTTTTTCTTGAAAGATGGAGACCGGAGGTCTGAAGGTCATAGAAACTACTATACATGCCCGTACCCCACCTCAGCGACCTCGTCACCTCCAATATTGTCATGACGTAACTACGGCCGTCCTCTAATCACTGGTCTTCGCTGAGGCGGACATTCATCAACTCTTGCGCTAAGCAAACTCGTGCCGCAATTCGGGGCGACGTGAGATCCATCCAAGGATTCTATGTAAACATCACTCACACTGGCAAAGCATGTTTACCTGGTGTTTCCCCAGTCGCCCAGGGAAGGCAAATTTCCATCTGCTTGAAGGGAAGCGATTGTGTCGCAAGTCTACGAAAATGGTGACCAACCATCACCCTGTAGCTGAAATGAATCCGTGAAAGGCTCCGCGAGTGTTAAAGGATTCGTGGAATGATACACGGGATCGAGGCTTTTGCCCACGCTATCCGGGTCGGTTTTTTCTTGTTGTTCAGTGGCTGCCGTTCACCTGGAAAGCACAAGCAAAAGTAAGGTGTAGCATTTTTCTTCAAGTTTTCAGTGTTGGGCAGTGAGCTTGTGAGTGTGAGAACTAGCATGCAAAGGTGTCTATCACTGCTTTGAACTGGGTTCTAGATGCAGCACGGATAACCATTAGAGGAAGGCTAACCCGCGAGGCAAATACCCAAGATAAGAAGGGATTCTGCCTATTCAAACGCATGACTATCTTTGATCATTACTACGTAGATTTGTCCATCATTTGGACATTCTGCGCGGGACCCGGTGTTACTCTACCTCGTTTCAAACCCCGTTGCTTCTACACTGCTCGCAAGAGGCCGTTTGTGTGTTGCTTGTAGAGGTTCCCTGCTACAGCCGGGCGAGAAGCGGTGACGTTCCTCGCGTCTATCGTGTGCCGTGATAAACTACCAACCGGGTTTTTAGGGGCTTTGTCTCACGCACACTAAACCGAACTTTTTGCCATTTTGACTGACAGTTGTAAAAAACCTGGTGTTAAATCAGTTCAACTTTGGTCCATTCCTCCTATTTTTCTAGACGGTTAACACCTCAACGTATACTTGCAGGTGCACTTACTAATATGCATACATCGACTTCAGTATGACCGTGTCGACAGGCAGAAAAATTAGAGTTAATAGGCCTTCCTTCCTTGAAGCACATGTTACGTCTGTCTCTAGGGCAGCAGGGTAATTCAAAACTGGTGCTTGATAAATATATGTGAGAGTAGTTGGTTGGTTCTTTCCCAGTCAGAGTCATTACCTAACGGGGTAAGCGTCCTAACGAGAACGAGAAACGGAAATATTACGCGCCACATTTATTTCGGTGTATCTAATAGAATAAATTGGCTGTCGCCGACATCAGGTACATAATATTTAGATATGTACAAATTGAAGCGACAAAGAGAACGCTCACTTTGATGGACAGCAGTTTTGGCCACCCAAACAGTCTGTCATGCATAGTTCAGGCCTCAGAATCAGCAGTGCACATAGGAACATGTCTAGTGTTACAATAAACGGCCAATTTGAACGAGAACGCCCATGATCCTGATGACGAAGGTAGCACTTTCACGGATTCACGGATTCACGTATTGATACACAGAATAGAGGCTTTTGCCCAAGTTTCCCGGGTCGGTTTTGTTCTTGTCGGTCAGTGGCTGTCGTTCACCTAAAAGGCACAAGTGAAAAAACGGTGTAACACCGCTCTTTGTGTTCTCAGCGCGGAGAAGTATGCTTGCCAGCGCGAGGATTCACATAAATAAATGTCTGATAGTGCTTTAAATAGGGTTCAAGAAGGAGCGTCCATAACCGTCGGAGGAAGGTCATCCCACACAGCTACTACCCGAAATGAAAAAAA